GAAGACGGGGAGAGAGAGAGGGCGCGGTGGCCAGAGACTGCCCCAGCAGAGGCTGGTATGGCTGGCCCAGGGGCTGCCAGAGCCAACTGCACCAGCCGCTGCAGAAGTCACTGAGGTCACGGAAAAATCACAGAATCCGTGATTTCCATGACAGACATGCAGCCTTAAACATGACCCATAGTTACCAAGCCAGTTTTAGATATAAGGGTCTTCCAAGCAATCCTTTGAAGAAATTCAATTTACTATCCAATCTATTTCATTTTCTTTATCCAACTTTAACAATGTAGCTTGGTTGAACATCACAGAAGTGCTTACCAATGAAGATGTTGACATACGTTATAAGTACTGCTACTGGTATCCCAGGCAATAATATATAGAATCTCTATTTAGCAGGGGGAGAGAAAAAGACACCAGATCAGTCTGACAGAAAAATAAACCACTTCTTCTGCAAATCTCAGTTACTCTTACAATTATCTCTCCTGTATTAGAACACCAAAATCTGAACTTCCACAATATTTCTTCTGTATAACATCAAATATGATTTATTATTGCAACTGGAATACTAGTGTTTCCAGCTAAGGATCTCAAAGCATTTCAGAAAACAGTAAACATGCCTCAAAACCCAGGTGATACATGTATTAATCCCATCATTACAACATAGCAAATTGAGCCACAGAGAAAATAAGAAAAGGAGTACTTGTGGCACCTTAGAGACTAACCAATTTATTTGAGCATGAGCTTTCGTGAGCTACAGCTCACTTCATCGGATGCATACTGTGGAAACTGCAGAAGACATTATATACACAGAGACCATGAAACAATACCTCCTCCCACCCCACTCTCCTGCTAGTAATAGCTTATCTAAAGTGATCATCAAGTTGGGCCATTTCCAGCACATGGCTGTTACTCTGAAACCAGAGAAAATAAGTGACTTGACAACATTATAAATTTGAATCAGTTTCAGAGTTGGGAATGCAACATATAAATTCTCCATCCCAGTCTCTTGTTCTAATTACTAGGCAATACTGTTGCTAGGTAAAACAATATTACTCAAAGCCTGGAGCTGATTAACTATAATGAAGCACTAAAACCACCTTTGACTGAACTTGAGTCAAAATGCAATTTTTAAAAAAACCATTGCAAGCTGAGAATTAATATTTTATATAAAATCTGTTAAAAAGATACAATGATCAGTAATTGCAGGGCATAAGTGAGGTCATATAGACCCCTGCCCTCACTCCATGAAGTCCCACCTGACTGACTATTTCCCCCACATACTGGATCTGATCCTTTCATTGACTTGAACGGGCTTTGGATCAGGGCTACAGAGCCTAAATCTCCGGTGTGGGTGGGCTGGATGGAAGGAGGTACACTTATTATGGGGTAGTAATGGGGGGCTCCTGGACTGGGAGAAGTTTTACAAGACTTAAAACAGCCAAGAGCTAAAATATTACTAAACCTGGAAAATAGATGACAGTTAAAATTAAAAAAGACAACAGGAAAGGATTTAAAGCAGTAACAATAAAAAAGTAGCAGTTAACTAACAATAGCTTAAAAGGGGCCAATTGAAGATAGTTAGTTTACATATACTACACACACAATTTAAAAAAGAAAAAAGGTCACTAACATAACAGATGTCAATCACCATCCTGACTACTTGGCTGGTATGACATATCCCTTTGCCCCATCTTTGTCTTTATAAATGGCAAGTTCTTCATGATAGGGACTAGGAAATCTTGTTTGTGTGGCTAGTGCCTGATATGTTTGGGATGCTACTGCATTGTAAATAATAGGAATGAGTGTATTAATGCCTTAAACACAGTCCATCATTTACAAATTATTTAAGTTACATTAAGAGTTGCAACAACAAAAAATTAATTTACCAGCAAGCTCAGAAATCGTTTGTCATAGAAATCTGTTGGCGTGATGACAAACATTCTTTTCCCATGGCTTCCATGTCGTACTGGAGCTGCAAAATTAAACCAGGGTATTATTATGTCCTTTTTCTATCTGCAGTGATTATGTACAGGAGAAGCTCTGCAATGCAGGCAAAAAAAAAGTAGTAAAACATTCAGTAAGGGGTGGGTAACTGCAGGCTGGTAAGGGTATTTATTGTTTTGCCTAGGACAGCAGGACTCCTAGAGCTAGCCCCAATTGTATGTTACAGAAGTGGTGATATTCCAAGATAAAACTCTCTCTATGGAGCAAGTCATAGAGGGAAAATAGATGAGTTGAAGAAAATTTCATTTGCACAAGAATCTTCCATATAAAAATCTCTACAGTTAGGTAAGTTCACACACTAGCATGCTACTAGGTTTTGGCTGGGGTGGCCAAAATTTTGACCCCCCAGGTCAATCGTGGAACAGGAGTGGAGGTGACGTACTGACTCTTAAGTGGACACCTGCACCTATGACTACAAGCTCTCTCAGTTTTGCACTGCATTATGAACAGAAATGAAATCAGCAGGTAGACGCAAGGACTAAGATACTGAAAAGGAAGTTTATATATCTGGCTGTACTACACATTAAGCGGGGGTGCCTGCTGGACATTTAGGCTCCAACCTTGCCACTAGCTCAGCATGAGCAGATCTCTGCACCAGCAAAGAATCCCAGCGGGTTCAATGTGGCTCAGTGCAAGGACCTTCTCATCGGTACACATTACAAGACTAAAGTAATGAGAAAATTCTCCATTTTCAAGTAAATACCTTTAGCCACAGAACATGCAAGAGGAAAGAGTAGCAGCAGCATACAACACAACCAACTGTCCCTAACAACAGACTTGAATTGAAGATGTTCCAGAAGGCCTCCTAGCTAGCTGTTTCAAGAAAAAATTAAACAACTTGCAGCTCCCATCTACAGTTCTCAAAGACCACCCCGTAACACAGGATCATATTAGCTCCTTTTCACAAAGGGAAACCAAAAATGAGTATTTTGCCCAAGGTCACTGTGATCCTTTCTCAGGGTGCCCAGGATTGTGTCACCTTGTCTCCCCCTCACAGAGGCAGGGAGTGTCTCTGACATGGCCAGCCCTTCAGCCACCCAACATCACTTCTCTGGGCTTATTCTAGCTGTTACTTTGCACTGCAGTCCTCTTTGAATCATTTCCCTGTAGTGTCCAGCCCTTAACCACTGGACACTCACAGAAATATCAGGTTCGCTATCCCCAAGAGGACAGTATATACACATGTTTGACTTAACGGAAAGTCAGCTCCTATATAACATCTTAGCATTAAGATATATTTACAGTGAAAACAATCATAAGTTTATTATCAAAGGCTAAGATTTAAGTGATAGCAAGTAAAGACAATGGAAACAGAAAAGTTACATATAAAACAAAATTATAACACACTTTAGAGATTACACTTAATTTAACAGGCTACCCTCCTGTCTAAAGCAGTCTATTCTCAACCAAAGCCTTCTTTCAGCATCTCCAACCAACAAGGCTGGGATCCCTCTTTCATAAATGACAAAAGCACTGCCCTTTTCCTTCCTCGGTGAAGGATTTTTCTGCCTTCTACTCACAGTCCCAAAGTTCACTGTCTTTGCACATGGCCAGGCTAAGCCTTATGGCTTGTTTTCTTTTCTTGTATGCACCTTTCCTATTGATTCCATATGTAAACAGAGCTTTCATTGTTTTGCTTTACAGTGCTTAATCTACATGGCCAACAGAGGGACACGTAAAAACAAAAGGAGTACTTGTGGCACCTTAGAGACTAACCAATTTATTTGAGCATTCTCTTTGAGTCTCTAAGATGCCACAAGTACTCCTTTTCTTTTTGCGAATACAGACTAACACGGCTGCTACTCTGAAAAGAGAGGTTTCAGAGTAACAGCCGTGTTAGTCTGTATTCGCAAAAAGAAAAGGAGTACTTGTGGCACCTTAGAGACTAACCAATTTATTTGAGCATGAGCTGTAGCTCACGAAAGCTCATGCTCAAATAAATTGGTTAGTCTCTAAGGTGCCACAAGTACTCCTTTTCTTTTTCTGAAAAGAGAGACATGTGAATCCCAATCAACATCCTTTGTCTGACCCAAAACCTGTTTGTCAGCATTGCCTTGGACACAGACCTTAAAACATTTTCATTACACATACGTAACGTTTTATGTAGCGTTTGTACATTTCACAACGATATTAATGATCAGCATGATCCTGGCTTTCATTTAAAGCCTCACATAGATTCATAGATTCATAGATATTTAGGTCAGAAGGGACCATTATGATCATCTAGTCTGACCTCCTGCACAATGCAGGCCACAGAATTTCACCCACCACTCCTAAAAAAGACCTCACATGAAAGTCTTCATAGACAAATACTATGAAAGCAGTGTATTAGGTGCAGTGAATTTATCAGGCCTGATAGGAGTGGAACCCTTTGCCAGCTGGTACCCATGGGCCTGGATCTCACAATCAGTCACATAACTCGAGTGGCAGAATCAGGAATAAAACCCAGGTCCTCCAGACTGATGGTCTAACCACTAGAGAGAGGAACCCCCCTCCCAACTGAGGAAACCCCCCTCTCTCCTCACAGGCCTCCCTCCCCCCTCCCCAAAGGAGAGCCCACCACCACCACCACCATCAGAGGGATCCCCCCTCTCCAGAGGAGCCGCTCTTCCTACAGTACCCCCTTCCCCAGAGGAAACCCAGTTACCCAACCCCCCGCGCTCCCCGCCCCCTCCGCAGACACACCGGTCCCCAGAGCCCCCACCCCGCTCCCCAAGGTCACCCCACTACAGAGGACACCGAGCTCCCCCCGCCTGGGGGCTCCATACCGATGATGCCGGAGGACACGACATTTCTGCCCAGCAAGGAGGCGCGTCCCCCGCCTGCCGCCCTGAACAGGACTTTGCGAGTCCCCAAAGCGGCCGCGGCCCGGAGCAGGAGGCTCATGGCGGCCATGTGTGAAACTGGCAAGGGGCGGGGCCGCTGGCCATTTACCCCCAATGAGATCGAAGCCGAGGCGCCACCATCTTGGAATCGGGCACGTTGTCCTGTAATTGTACCCGTAAAGCCCTCTCCTTCCGGTCTCGCAGCCGAAAGTGGCCGGTGGCGCAAGGCATTGTGGGCATCATGGCGGCTACCCTTTGCCGGCGCTTCTTCAGCGCTTTGAGGGTCTCGGGAGTGTTACAGGCCCCGCCAGCCGCCTGCTTTCCCGGGTAGGGGCCCGTTGAGCGGGGTAACTGGTTCCCGTGGGGCGGGGAGGTGAGCTGGCCTGGGAAGGGGGTGTGGAGCATGTGGTGACCCCCGGCCGTGGCGGGGGGGGGCTGCGTTAGGCGGGCGTTTGGGGTTGTTGAGCTGGGGGCCCTGTGTGCCGGGGGCGGCTGAGGGCCGGGGGCAGTGGTGGCCGTTGAACAGCTGAAGGAAAGGGGCCGTTGGCCTTTGGTAGGCTGACGGGCCTGTTGGGCCAAAGTGTGTTCATTGGAAATAGAAAAGGAGGACTTGTGGCACCTTACAGACGAACCAATTTATTTGAGCATAAGCTTTCACGAGCTACAGCCCACTTCCTCGGATGCATGCAGTGGAAAATACAGTAGGGGGATTTTATATACACAGAGAACATGAAACAGTGGGTGTTACCATACACACTGTAACGAGAGTGATCAGGTAAGGTGAGCTATTTACCAGCAGGAGAGAAAAAAAAAAACCTTTTGTAGTGATAATCAAGGTGGGTCATTTCCAGCAGTTGACAAGAACGTCTGAGGAACACTGGGGGGAGAGGGGAATAAACAAGGGGAAATAGTTTTAGTTTGTGTAATGACACATTCACTTCCAGTCTTTATTCAAGTCTCAGTTAAGGGTGTCCAGTTTGCAAATTAATTCCAATTCAGCGGTCTCTCCTTGGAGTCTGTTTTTGAAGTTTTTTTGTTGAAGAATTGCCACTTTTATGTCTGTAATCAAGTGATCAGAGAGATTGAAGTGTTCTCTGACTGGTTTTTGAATGTTATAATTCTTGACGTCTGATTTGTGTCCATTTATTCTTTTAGAGACTGTCCAGTTTGGCCAATGTACATTGCAGAGGGGCATTGCTGGCACATGATGGCATATATCACATTGGTAGATGTGCAGGTGAATGAGCCTTTTATGGTGTGGCTGATGTGATTAGGCCCTATGATGGTGTCCCCTGAATAGATATGTGGACACAGTTGGCAACGGGCTTTGTTGCAAGGATGCGTTCCTGGGTTAGTGTTTTTGTTGTGTGGTCTGAGGTTGCTGGTGAGTATTTGCTTCAGGTTGGGGGCTGTCTGTAGGCAAGGACTGGCCTGTCTCCCAAGATCTGTGAGAGTGATGGGTCGTCCTTCAGGATAGGTTTAGATCCTTGATGATGCGCTGGAGAAGTTTTAGTTGGGGGCTGAAGGTGACGGCTAGTGGCGTTCTGCTATTTTCTTTGCTGGGCCTGTCCTGTAGTAGGTAACTTCTGGGTACTCTTCTGGCTCTGTCAATCTGTTTCTTCACTTCCGCAGGTGGGTATTGTAGTTGTAAGAACACTTGATAGAGATCTTGTAGGTGTTTGTCTCTGGCTGAGGGGTTGGAGCAAATTCGGTTGTATCGTAGAGCTGGGCTGTAGACAATGGATTGTGTGGTGTGGTCTGGATGAAAGCTGGAGGCACATAGGTAAGTATAGCGGTCAGTAGGTTTCCGGTATAGGGTGGTATTTATGTGACCGTCGCTTATTAGCACTGTAGTGTCCAGGAAGTGGATCTCTTGTGTGGACTGGTCCAGGCTGAGGTTGATGGTGGGATGGAAATTGTTGAAATCAGGGCTTCTTTTCCATGAGTCCAGATGATGAAGATGTCATCAATGTAGTGCAAGTAGAATAGGGGCATTAGGGGACGAGAGCTGAGGAAGCGTTGTTCTAAGTCAGCCATAAAAATGTTGGCATACTGTGGGGCCATGCAGGTAACCCTAGCAGTGCCACTGATTTGAAGGTATACATTGTCCCCAAATGTGAAATCGTTATGGGTGAGGACAAAGTCACAAAGTTCAGCCACCAGGTTTGCTGTGACATTATCGGGGATACTGTTCCTGACGGCTTGTAGTCCGTCTTTGTGTGGAATGTTGGTGTAGAGGGGTTCTACATCCATAGTGGCTAGGATGGTGTTTTCAGGAAGATCACGGATGGATTGTAGTTTCCTCAGGAAGTCAGTGGTGTCTCGAAGATAGCTAGGAGTGCTGGTAGCATAGGGCCTGAGGAGGGAGTCTACATAGCCAGACAATCCTACTGTCAGGGTGCCAGTGCCTGAGATGATGGGGCGTCCAGGATTTCCAGGTTTATGGATCTTGGGTAGCAGATAGAATACCCCTGTTCGGGGTTCTAGGGGTGTGTCTGTGCAGATTTACTCTTGTGCTTTTTCAAGGAGTTCCTTGAGCAGATGGTGTAGTTTCTTTTGGTAACCCTCAGTGGGATCAGAGGGTAATGGCTTGTAGAAACTCGTGTTGGAGAGCTGCCTAGCAGCCTCTTGTTCATATTCTTACCTATTCATGATGACAACATCAGATGAAGTGAGCTGTAGCTCACGAAAGCTTATGCTCAAATAAATTTTTTAGTCTCTAAGGTGCCACAAGTACTCCTTTTCTTTTTGTGGATACAGACTAACACGACTGCTACTCTGTTAATTGGAAATAGCTATGCTTTGTGGCAAACCTAGGGCTATTCTGATGTAGCCTGCCAGTAATGTTCTGCACGCAGAGCCTGCAGTGAATGGGATTATGGCCCTTACAATGGGGTAAGCCTAGCAGCCGTAGGGCAGTTCATCCCTCGAAATCCAGCCCAGAAGAGTGGTGCACCAGATTGATGCTGGATGTTGTGCTTTGGCCTTTCTGAAATGAATTGGCAACTAGAATCCAGCTCCTAATGGACCGCCTCTAAAAACCACTGTCAAAATGACAGCAAAATCTTCAGTCTATTTGTTTGCAAAGAGCTTTACTATATTCTGTTCAGGTCCTTACGGTACCTATCCCCATAATATTTCAACATCTAGTTTATCAGCTGTGTAATGAAGGAATAGTTTCACCAAGTGCTAATGAAATTCATTCTCCTCCTGGGGACAATCAGGTGTGAAACTGCCATTGGGCAAAGTCCTCCTCTTGAATAATAATTTATACAGTCTTTAATATACGCATGCAGCAAGCAAGACTATGTATGCATTCATTCTTTTGGATAATTTGTCCCTCTCTTTAGAAGGATGAAGCTCTGACTAAACCCAGATTGGTACTTAGTGAGATTTCACAATGATTAATATCTGAGAAACATTCATCTGTTTCTCAAAATAATGTATTGAAATTTCACATTTAGATTTTAGTACAGCTGGTTGTAATGGAATCCAAGTTACGCTACAGAAAACTGGAATATGTCTTAGCTGTACCTTGTCAGAAGGGATTACATTAATTTTTTGACCCGCACTTACTTCCATCCCACACAAAATAGGTGTTCTCTTTATTATTGTAAACTGACATCAGAAATAACAAATCTTGAAAATTGACATTATATTAACAAAAAAATACAGGCTAAAGAAATTAATCTGCCAATATATGGGACTCCCTGATTTGCTATTGATGTCCGCTAATTTGGGGTTTTGCAGGCCAGTGCACATTTAGGCAAGTAAATTAAAAGCTTGCATTTCAAGATAATGAAGTTTGGAACAAACATTTTCTCCATGCTAGTAGCCAGAGGCATTACTTTATTGTTCAGCCGATAAAATCAGAAAGGTCTAGTTTCTTTACTACAGTTGCTGCTGAGAGTGCCAACAAGAGTGCCGGCTGTGATGGAACTTGCTCACTAGAACTAGACATATTACCAACTCATTTCACAAAGGCCCCTGAATATCAATTTAGGGTATTATCAAATTTAGTCACTACGAGAGGGATAACTTGATAGTCTAAACCAGTGGTTCTCAAACAGTTTGTTTTGTGGACCACTTGAAAATTGCTGAGGGTCTTGGCGGACCACTTAAGGAGCTTCCCAAACATTGTTTGTACCATTAGCTAACTATTGTAAAGCACTTTGGATAAAAATACTATATAAAAAAACCTTAATAATTGTTTTTTTGTTCTATAAATAAAAGCACACAACTCATATTTTAATATCAGTAGTCTTACCTTTCTAATGTGATGGCTGTGCCCTCTTTCCCCCGCTGCGGCAGGCCCTGAGCTGGGGCTGGAAAGGAGGGGGTCTCTCCCTCTCTCCCCTGCCGCGGCAGCGCCCGAGCTGGGGCTGGAAAGGAGGGCCGTCTTTCCCTGGCAGCTGCAGGTCTGGAACTGGGGAGAGTCGCCTCTTTCTCTGGCCGCCACAGCCCTGCACATCCCAAATTCCTCCCCACCCCCTTTTCTCACCCCACTGCCCCCTCTCACATGTGTGTCTTCTCCAGGGTCCAGGCACCTAATTAGTGGAGCCATGCTTGCACGGCTCCAGTAATTAGGTGGGTGGCCCTTCATTCTCTAAGGTGCGCACCTTAGAGGGAACTATCCGTGGACCACCTGAATGGAGCTCACAGACCACAGCTTGAGAACCTCTGGTCTAAACATTAGGTTTGCAGTAGCTATACTCCCTTGAAAAATAGGTTCTTGACAGAGTTTGAAGTAGTTAGTTATTTCCAGGTAATATTAGAGTTTCCACAGGTGATACCTTAAAGACAGAAGCTCTATGTCGATGTTAAAGGTCCTTCAGCATTTTTTGTAATAACGGCGTCTTCCTGCACATAATATTAGTGTTATGAAACACAGTACTTGCTTTGTTTCTGCATGTCATTCTTGTTTTTCGTAAATGCTGTTTTTACCAGTTATTTATTATTTGTTTCATAGTAGTGCCTAGAAGTCTCAATCATGATCCAGGCCTCTTTGTGCTCAGCACTACTCAAACGCATAAGAGACAATCCCTTGCTCAGGAAGCTTATAAACAAATGAGAACAAGACACACACAGACTGAGAGGGGAAATGAAAATAGAGATGACGTGTCTGACATTGACAGAGCCAGGAACTGACCCATGTCTTTTGACTCTCTCTCCAGTGGACCCTGTGGCCTCCAGTGTTGGAGAACCTGCAAATAGAAAACTTGTTACAATCAGAATAGGAAGGTGTCCATGAGAATGGACTGGAGGGCAAAGTTCGTATTTAGCAGATTTTTCTTTTTCCTAATCAAATATATATTTTTCTTTACCTTTGTTGCAGATTAACCTTGAATCTGCTCCATAAGAACACTACTAAAGTAGAGCCCATCTATCAGTGTAAGTTTCTCCATACTACTTTATCACGGAAAGGACTGGAGGAGTTTTTTGATGACCCAAAAAACTGGGGAGAAACTGTAGTTAAATCTGGTGAGTTATTTTTAACCTTTTGGGTTTGGTGTCTTTGATATACTTCTGCTGTTAAAAATATGCAAATTAATATGCAGGATTTTAGAAGGTATTTAGTGGCAATATGTCATGCCACTTCTTGTATATTCATTTGCTTTTTCTATTTTAATTCTGTGTTAATACAAGTGGAACATTTATTATGCAGAGCAGAGGCAAAACATCTAAGCCCTGTAGCCCAGCATATAGTCTTCAACCATGTTGTGTGAGATCACAGAAAGGGTTGCACTTCTAACTCTGAACAAGGAACTTTATTCGAATAACGAAAACAGTAATATCCCTAAAGCTGCTTTTGTCTGTCTCTCTCTCTGCTTCTGCCTACAACTTTCCCTAGTTCTGAATGCCTGCTACAAGTATTAGGGAACAGAACAGTTTCTTTCACATTTGAGCATGGTCTTGTTTTCTAAGCAAGATTGAGTCTGGTCAGTATTTCAATGTCATCTACAAGGAAAAAGCTGCAAAAATTGGTGTTTGTAATTTGACATTCTTTCCAGGGAATCAACGTGGTGTGCAGGTGGAAATATTTTTTTAGAAAATGGATCATTTTTAGATTAAATCACTGTTTTTTGTTGCTGTTGTTTTTACAGGGGATGAGTGGCATGCAAAACATCTAAGAAACAAGAGTAATGAAGATTTGCACAAACTTTGGTAAGTGTTTTAGTGCAGTGTTTCCTATCCTTTTGGGGCAGTTGTGCCCGTTTTCATATGAAAGACATGGCTGTATTAGCCAGTGAACTCAGTTTCCCACTCAGTTGTGCACACTCTAACCTGCACTGGGGTTCTAATTCTGGTCAGAGTATGTACAGTGTATTGCAGGTAGAAGTGGTGAATTAGGCTCCAGTGCAGAAGGGTCCAACGTGGCCCATCAGTTAAGGATGTTTTTTAAAAGGTTTATATAAAAATGTGTGATCTCATGGACAGAGGATGGGTCTAGGGGTTAAGACACAGGGGGTTCTAATTCCTGCCTTTGCCACTGACTATGTGAGCTTGGGATAAATGACTTTAGTCCTGTGTCCCTCAGTTTCTCCAACTGTAAAAACAGGAAATAATGGTGTTTACCCATCCTTTGTAAGGTGCTGTGAAATCACAGAGGAAAAAGCCCTGTTAAAAGTAAATCAGATGGTTAGCATTGCAAGATCTTTAGCAATACAACTTAAGTAACATAGGCAAGGAATTTAGAAAAACAAAACAAAAAAACCCAGACTTTTTAACTTGACGTTGGGAGCCCAGAGTACCAGACACAAAATCGTGTACTCCCAGGGGTTGAGAATCACTATTTAAGTGAATAATTTACAAGCATGTTAGCACTAAAACTTAACTCTAATTTCTGACCGTATTGTACTATTATGTTCTTTGATCCAGGTATGTCCTACTGAAAGAGAAAAATATGCTTTTAACTCTAGAGCAAGAAGCAAAGCGACAGAGTTTACCTATGCCAAGTCCGGAACGATTAGAAAAGGTAACTTTTTCATATAAGCTAAAAACATCACTGCAGGTAAACTTTTTGTGTGAAAGATGCAATGTTTGCAAACCTGTAAAAGACAGTTCCCAGAATTATGTTCCTGATTCATTTTGCTTAGGGTAGCAATGTAAAAGTTAACTTGTTCCAAAGCCTTTCTCACCTCCTATACTTCCTAATTGTCAAGGTGGTTAAGCACTGGAATAAATTTGCCTAGGGAGGTTGTGGAATCTCCATCATTGGAGGTTTTTAAGAGCAGGTTAGACAAGCACCTGTCAAGGATGGTCTAGATAATACTTAGTCCTGCCATGAGTGCAGGGGACTGGACTAGATGACCTCTTGAGGTCCCTTCCACTCCTATGAGTCTATGTTAAATCATATTCATATTAAATCACCTCTTTCATTCCACTGAAACTGATTTCACAGTCATTTCTGGTATCTTTTCCTGGCCCAAGTTGCAGCCCACCCATATGCTTATCCTTGAACTTTCTGCCTTCAACTCCTTTGTTTTCTATCTTTCCTGGGCTTCTATGAACCTCTGACCTCTTGGTTCTTTTCTCATTTCTCTCACTCTCTTTCAGTGTCTCCTTCTCTAACATTTGCCTTCAGTTTTCTGACCTTGTTTGCCTACACATTTCTCTCCCTACCTTAACCTTACAGACTTCATCTACTCACACATGAATCATGGTAACAAGGTTTCTAGCTGGAAAAGTGTTGAGAAGCTTCTGGTCAAATGTTATAGTTTGGCCATTGCTGCTCTCTGATCATCTAATAGGAACAGAGTCTCTAACCAGACCCCAAGTTGCCAACCAGCTTGACAAACCATTTCCATGAACTCTGTCAGAAATGCAGATAAAATCTGCATATTTCCAGTTGTTTTCCACAACCTACCAGCATCAACTCATTGTCTGGATTGAGCCTTAGCCAGCTGGCACCTAAACTAAAAGTTTCTCAGTTTAAGCACAGATCAGAAGCCAACATTGTGGCTTCAGTGTCATGTTGAAATGGTTATTCTGTTTTCAGGTGGAAAAGTCTATGGGAAGAATAGACTTAGTTATTAAAGAAAGAGAAGTTGCTCTGCGGCTGTTACAAACAGGCCACGAAAACCCACGACCTGGCGAGTGGAGAAATGACTTCTTAGGACGCACCTACTGGTATGGGAAAGAGGATTACTGTTCTATATGTGCAGAGCTGTAGGAGGTATCAGTACTATCAAAACCAGAAACATGTTACAGAAAAAGAGTCAGATAACGTGTCTATTGTGGAAAAAGCATCTTTGTAACCTTATCAAGAACAAGCAATATTTACTAAACAACATTAATACCTTTGGGGATGTGTTTCATCATCGGCAACTTTGCTAAGCCGTTAGCTGGGGTGGGGTGGTGGTAACCTCTCTCTCACAATTCCATGGATAAATCACCGGATAAACGGCAAACAGAGCTTGGTCTCATTTATATTCCAAGTTTTACAGTATTGGGGGACCTGGTTACAATATGGTAGTCCCCTGACGTGGTTGAAATATGGTTCGGTCTTGCTGTGCCGATGAGTTCAAAGTTTTTCCAAATTGTGCTATAGACCTGGACTTTTCTCAGCTGCATTGCAAGACCACTGAATTAAGTAGGGTTGCCAATTTTGTATTATTTAAAAAACGGACACTCCAGCAGGAGTGTTGGAACCTCCCCTGCCCCTCGTTCGCTCCTCTTCCCCTGTTGCTTGCTCCACCTCCCACCTCCTGTCTGGGTCAGGAGGGACTTTTCTGCAGAGCCAGGGCTGGGAGCTGCAGCCGCCTGACACAGGTAGGAGGCTTCCCTGGCTGAGTAGGATGCCTCCCCCGCCCTTTGTAACCAGAAACCATAAAGTCCCCTTTTTGACCAGGCTTTTCGGTTGAAAACTGGACCTGGCCAATGGCCACCCTCCTGTTCAGGGGCAACTATGTAACCTAGTCTTCCAAAAACTATAGGACTTACAGTGTAGATGGGACTACATGTAGATGGATTCAGGATCTCCTATCATTGCTGACAAGTATTTTAAATTGTTTGTAAACTCTGTAAATTAAAGTAGACTATATCCAATAAACTCCAGTAAACTTAGATTCAGGGTGAAATCCTGGCCCTATCAAAGTCAATGGCAAAATTCCCACTAACTTTAATAGGGCCAGGATTTTACCTTCAGTGTAATAGCATTTTGAGAAACAGTTTCTGTATTCTGCACTGGAGTGACAGGAGTTTGAGGAGATAGAGAAAGAACCTCCCTCCGCCTTCTTTGAGTTATAATTTTTGGTTGCACACCCCTCCCCCCAAACTCAGATAGCTGGGTGGCATGCTGAGGTGAGTCAAGGGGTGGAGGTGGTGCTCTCTCCCTGGGCCCTGCTGTGCAGAGCTGGCCCCCTAAAATGGAAGTCAAACTATGCTTATGGAGGGCCACCCGGTGCCCCATGGAGCAGGAGCCTGGTGCCCCGAGCTCCCCCACGCCCAGTGGCTGAAGTCTGGAGCCTTGAGACACCCCCTGCCACTGTGGAGTTTTTCTAGCATGTTGTGGGGGGGCCTCAAAGAAAAAGGTTGAGAACCCCTGGACTAGACAACAGTACCTACCCACTTGAACAAAAAAGAGCAGCTTCGTTACAATCCATTTACTGAGATGCAGCAATCTAAATGCTGGATGATACTGTAATCAATTTGTATGTCATTGGCAGGTACAATGCCAAAGAGTGGCCAATACCTTGGTACCTAAACAAAAAATACAACAGGAGGAAATTCTTCTACTCGCCACGTGTAAAACATTTCATCAGGTAATTTGAAATGGAAAGGAAAATTCTCTGACCCTGTTTGTTGTGTACTAGTCTAGGTCTTCCAACGTTGTAAAGGACAGTCTTATTGCTTTTTCTAGCTTGTGGATTGTTTTTTTGCTTTACAGGATGGGGAAAAGGTGACACTGAACAAAAACTGTTTAAGACCCTGATTCTGCAAGCACTTAGGCATGTGCTTAATTTTAGGCATGTGAGTAGTCCCCTTGAAACCAATGGGATTATTTATCTGTTTAAAGCTAAGCACGTCTGTAAGAGGTCCCAGTTCTGTGAACACAGTCATTAAGTCACGTTCCTAGTGTATAATTGGTTCTGGGTACAGCTGAATAAATGTTGGAGATGACATGGTGTCTTATACTGTATCCCAGCTTCTTTGAAGTTGTCACCATTTATCTTCTGGGTCTGACTTTGCTTAAAGAAATTTTAGCTGGTAATATTTTACAGAGCACTTTTAATCCCAGAAGACTTTTACCAATAATATGAATGAATCCCTTCCAGGTGTGTAGCACACTAAGTGTGTGACGGTAAAATCTGAGCCATGTATACCAGGCCATATCTTTATTCTTTTGAAAGTGCCCTGGCTCTTTAATATACACAGAGCAGAGATAAGACCAATTTCAAAGACCGCCCACATAGCATACTACATGGAACTCCAGCTTACTTCTCTCAGAAAGATGAAGGAATGAGTCAACCCTGCCTGCATTCTAATTTATAGTTTCATGCAGTGTTAGAATTCCAAAGATGATGATTTGCACAAAGCATTTGCCCTACATTTGGTGCTATGCATATTCATTATGATAAAATGCTTAAGACCATTCCTCTAGTCTCCTAATAAATTCAGTCTGGCCATAGCTTATATAACCCTGAATCTGATTGCTTCAGAATTTTGTACAGCTTCTTTCATACAAACTAAGTTGTATGGTATTTTGGTTGATTTCAGTGGCACTCTTCCCATCTCAGCCATGCCATGCTGACCCAGAATTGTATATAATAATCTGAATGTTACCTTATTTATTATTATCTGCCTAACAGTTCCACAACACCAGCTGCTTAATTATGGTCAGAATCTCTGGTAAAATCCTGAGATCATTTGCCTTTTTACTGCTGCCAGATATTATGCAGATGGTTCTGATGCATAATCACTCCTATGTCACACACTCATCTGTAATTAGGATGGTTTGCATGTAGATTACAAAATGTTTTTTCCTTGTTATACTTCTGCAGATTGAACTGCATGGGCTACTTAGCCATTTATAAGCCTCATCTATCAGTCATTCTGAATTATAGCTTGCTCTACTCCTTTCTGATCCCATTTTCTGTCAAATTTATCCACCTGCAAAATTGTTCTGTACTCCAAAGTTATTTTATGTGCAAAGCAGCCAAGGTTTTTTCTCCTATGAACACCCCCCCACACTTGTTACCTGTAGGATTCAGAGTGGAGGAAAAAACTGTGCTACTGTACCCACGATTGCTGACTATTTCTGCTAACAGCAGTGAAAGTTAATATTGTTATTGCTCTCGCTAATGTAACCAGTGGCGTCTTTCTGACCATGTATTATAAGGGCTTGATCCATCCTATTTTTCTGCTCCTTTTGCCACTGTCACCCAACCCCTCCTCACTTCTCTCCTCTATGCTTTCTTGACTAGTTCTTTAGCAGCTCCCTTGGTGGCTTCATCTCCTCTCCTTTTCACTCTTACATTACTCCAGTGTTCCATTCTCGGTCCCTTCTTCTCCCTTAACCTTTTGCCATCTTCATCCCAATCTCTGCTCCTCTAGTCAAGCTTGCAACTGTCTGACAAACTCAGGATGGCAAAGACTGAACTTACTCTGCACCATTTCTTTTTCATAGTCAATTCTTTGGTCCTTCCCATGCACCAGCCTATCAACCTCAGTTTCACTGGACTTCTAACTCTCTTGTATTCAGGCTAATACTAAATCCTTTCACTTCCTATACAACATTCTGTCTTGATGACCCTATCCATTCTCCATACCTTGATAATCCTCCTGTCTGGACTTTCCTAGTATCCATCTAAACATGCTCCAGTCTAGGCACTAGAAAAGATCTCATATTGCACACTACCACAAAGCAACTTAACCCAGTTCCTGCTTATTATTTTGACCTGGGACTATATCTCTACTGGTAACCTCTCTTCCTAAAACAACTTAACTCCTTTCACTGTTGCTACTTCATCTTGAACTGTTAATCTGTTGTATTTACAGTATCAAGCACTTGTTTGAAATCAGTTATGTCCACTGTTTCATTATTAAACACAATGTAGGGAATGTACTCCCGTTACTGAAAACCACTGTCAGGAACTGGTATGTTTCCTGGTTTAGAGGGGTGATTAACTGGAGAAACATCTTCTCTGCAGCTTCTGTAAACTAAAAACAACTTCATGTATTTCCCCCTGGGAGCCTGTTTTCTCCTTTTATTTTTCATTGCTGCTCTCTTAATTTGTTCACTTCAGACATTTATACTTCATACATATACCATGCATCTTATATTACTGTAAAGCATTTGAAACAATTTGCATGAAATATACTTTTCATGTTGGAGCTATGGCAGAACTGCCCTTTCCCTGTGACTAGCAGGGGAAAAGCATGAATAAAAGGTGAGTTCATAAGACTTGGAGCAGTGGGGACCTGGCCTAGTTCATTATTGCTAATATAAAGTAGGGGCCTTTTCTCCTCTTTATTTCCAGCTTCTACCCATCATAGCAACTGTTATTGGTATTGGCTGGGCCCAGGTCTTGATGCCAGCACAAGCCTCTGATATAAATTCTTGATATTGATTGCTGAACTTGAGTCTCCAAGTGAACTCTTGTTAATGGAAGCCAGCTTACCCAGTTAAATTAATTGCCCAGTTTGAAAGTTATGAAAGTCTTAGGAAATTCAATAAAGTGATACAAAAAAATCTTCAGAATTTAGGCATAAGTGATATGACTGGGAGAAATGTGTTGGACTATAATGAAATTTAACAATGCTTATTTTTCTTCATTACAGACTTAGAATAGAACAACACTTGAAAAAACAAGCAAGGATGAAAAGCTTAGAAAAAAAGAAACAGCTCCTTTTACAAAAGAAATTCCCTCACCTTGCTGCACAATCACAGAATTAATATCAAGCTGGAAGAGTGATGCAAGTAATAGTTTTACTGCAGTAGTCTTAAGATGCTACATGTGACTGGCATGTAGTGTGAACATTTTCAGTGGGCAGCAGCTAAAGAACAGGGCTGCCTGTGAGGGTTTTTTGTTCTTTGATTTTTTTTTCCCTGCCCAAATAAAGCTCCTCAACCCGAAAAATAAATTTCATATCTGGGTTGTGAGACCTTCAGAGCAAAACAATATAAACTTGTGCTGAGTCATTTAACTGATTTCTGGAAAAGTAATATTTTATCAGCCAGGTGATGAAAATTAATGCTTTGCGTCATTTTGTGTCATTTACTATAAAGCTGACCTGTATGCTTAACAGTAAAAAAGCATATGCAAGACAGAGATTGCAATCAAGGCAGTTGTAGACATGTCTGCTTTAGCTTTTAATGAAGGTCTTCTCTCCCTTTATTTTTGCACTTAACACTTAGTGTAGCATATTATACAAGCTATAGCAGCTGTCCAATGCACTCAACTGTCCTATTTAAGTACAACAAAACAAATGCATTAGGCAGAAAATTACAGTAAAATCAAGTAGGTTAGGAAAGGAATAGAAAGCTCAAGAGCAACATCTCTACAGAAAGTAATGGTAAGTTTGAGAAGTTCTCTATCAAATTAATTTTAAATCTGGCTTGATAGCTGTGTCCAAGTTTTCTTAGTAAGGAGGGAGTAGCTTGAGGATAGCATAGGCTAGATTCCTGGTTATCTTTGGTAGATTCAGTGGAAATGGTCGCATTTTCTAACAGCCTTATACTTATTTTTGTAAGTTACTGGCTCTTTGCTTTATCACATTAGAGCCTGCAGCCTAACTCAGCTCCTGGCAGGGGAAAGCTTTCAAATATTCTTCAGAAATAAATATTATTAGTAGCACAACACTTGACATCTAAGTAACAAGTTAAGGACAACATTGCTAATTAAATTTTAGGTATAATAATAAAGATATTTAGAAAAGTGAAATATTTTCATATGGTTGTAGCAGAAGCATTTGTTAGCTGTTAATTGATAATTGAATACAACTGGTACAGGGATCTACTATGGAGACTTAATTGACAGGGGACAAATTAATTCTACAGCATTGAAAATGTGTATGTAACTTGAGCTGCCTAAAATCTGTATCCGTACAGAAGGCAATTATTCCCTTACAAAAAAGGCTTTCAGTCTTCCAGAATGTTTAGTTAAGAAATAAATCAAAAATTAAGAGTGCAGTTAGTAGTACCTGTTTGAAAGAAGTAGCTTTGAAGGAAAGGACAAATGTGGCTAGATTCAATCATGTTATATGCAGCTACAACCACCTTAGATTCAATTAATTGTCCCAGTCAAGGCAGAAGAGAACTTATTCCTGTCTAAGTGAAACTCTTTTACCTAGAAAGAGAAGGTGAGACATGAGCTTATTCATCTTTAGTACTCTATTTCATAGTGAACAGGAGTTGAGTTGCATACCAATAGCCACTCATTTAATCTTTTACAAAATTAAAGCAGAATCACTGTTTACAAACATAACCTTCCACAAAACTAGCTACATTTAACACCACCACCTACAAAAGTAATGGAATAAAATAGGATGGGCTGTGATAGAATCAAATACCTGAGAAAAAATTAGCCTTCCTAAATACCCCCTGTAGCATAAAGGATGAAACAGCAAAAAATGCAGGGAGTGGTTTGTTTTTAAGGAGGAGGTGAATTGGTTTTGCTCTGAGAAAGCCACAAGTTAACTGTTTGCAGATGAGTGATTTTTTTAATTATACTATAATTTTTTTCTGTCCTTAGAAGAAAGTACAGTGTGCTTTCCCTCACTCTATAATTGATTGAGGGGTATAAATTATTCCATTATTTACACACAACACACAGGCTCTGGCATTCTGCCTCAGTGTTTTCCTCCTTAAGTTTAGGAAGTAATAATAAGTCAACTTCATCTTGCCTTTTTGCCAGCGTACATCCTGACATTTCACTAATGGCACTTGAATGTGGTTGAACACTTATAAGAGTCTTGTTTACTTTCACCATTTAACTTTCTCCTAGTTAGTTTCTCCCACCCTGACTGCCAGAATGATCTCCCCTCTCTGTATGCCATACTGCAGTTGCAGTCAGAGGTACCTGAGTTGGATCCTGCCTTGTTTTGAGAGAGGGCAGTGCTAGCAGTGTTCTCCACCAGCCCTGAGAATCTGGAACTTGGTCTCTCCCTTTGATCCAAAATAGCCCAACTGATGACCATCAAGGCATGCTGTTAAAGTCATTTACTTGATGAGGCATGCAGGGAGGTTAAGGGGTCTGTTCCAGGGAGATGAAGGAGTATTTTGATTTTAAGTTATTGGCTAGTTGTGTTCATTTATTTCCTGTATGACTATTCTATGGTATTGGTTTATCATTTAGATTGTAAACCTAATCATTAGGGTGTCAAGAGCTTTCATATGGCTATTTAATTGTTTAAAGAACAAAAAGGTAGTGATTTTCAAATGGGAATTTTAAAATTCAGGACCAAAAACTTCATTATGGCAGGAGTGGAGGCGAAATACAGAATAGAGCCAGGTGGTCTCAAGTTGTAGACCAAGCTTTGACACAAAATTTCCTTTGTGGCTTTAGGCAGTTACTGTTCTCTGCCTTAGGTTCCCAATCTCTAAAATGAGGACACTACTTACCTAGATCACACACGTTGTCCAAGCTAAGTACATTCTCATACCTCTGAAGGTGGAAAGCACTGTACATTCACTGAAACGAAATCACTTCTATTCATAGTAGTTTTAGAACCAAATTTATACACAGACTATATTCTAGGCCTTTACTTCATAGTACAGCATGAAAGAGGAAAGTATCAAGAGAACATTTTCTGCTACAAGACTAGTGCTGTTGCCACAGCTTCACAATTTATGTTGAACTGGGCTGCTTAAGATAAATTTCAGTATAAAAAATAGTTTTCCATCTGGATTGTTTATTACAGAAGAGTATGAATGCTTGCTGAAAAACAGTGTTGCTCAAAGTGTGAAAACAGGACCATTTTATTTTTTTAAAAGAAATTAGAGTAATTTGTTAAGGACAGCATATCAACAGGGAAGACTGATCTGTAAAAGTAGACAAGATTTTTTTTTTTTTAATAAATTTGATGCAAGGGCATTTCAAAGTATTGCATCTACCAGCTAACCTGTAAAGCTACCCACAGGAAAAGATTTTTAGAGAAAATAGACATTTATACAAAATTATAAAATACTTATAAGAGTTATTGCATTTCAAGGGATAAAACATCCATTTTCTGTGACAGGACCAGTTAAGCCTTTTAAACAATATCTAAGGTTTGTAAAAATGGATCTTGAAGTATGCAAAAAACCAAAACTGTGTAAACTTTCTACAAAAGATTCCATCCCATTCCTGAGTACACTAAAGCTATGAAACATAAGGAGCATCGGGAAGGCAGCAGTTTCTCACAGTGTGAGGTCTATGGGCATTTCCTTTCTACACACTGCTTCCCTCCTTCTTCATACTCTTGTTTAGAGATCCACATCTGTTGAAAGGTACCCTGTAAAACAGGAAAAAACAACAACTCAGTGCTGTACCTAGGGTATCATTAGCTCTAACCGCATGAAAAGCAAACCAGCCTTTATATTTTTCAGGATGCAGCACAGGACCATGGCTCCAGCTATCTAAATGTATCTTTAAACTGGGTTTTGCATGTTAAGCAACTAGGGAAGATTGTCACATGAACTGTTGCTTCCACGCCCTCTCTGGATATTACTAAACTACTCCCTGCTAGCCTTGTCTCATGTGTGCTCAGCAACTTGCTTTTCAGATGTATTTCTGGGCCTGATCCTTCAAGTTTAGTACTTTTAGCATGCTCTAGATGGCGTGTAGTTTTCTAAAGATCCAGCAAGAGAATACCCCAGGAGCTCCACCTCCTTCCCCTCTGGAGGCAAGGAAAGGAGCTTAATTAAGATTCTTTAGGTTTATGCACAGAGTATTCATTATTTTATCGTCAGGTTTCTCCCCTCCCACACCATGCTCAGCAGAGCTACTACAGGAGCAGCAGCTGCTCTGAAACTCAAATCACTAACAACAGGTGTCAGAGCAGCAGCCGGGTCGGTCCGTATCCGCAAAAAGAACAGGAGGACTTGTGGCACCTTAGAGACGAACCCATTTATCGGAGCATGAGCTTTCGTGAGCTACAGCTCACTTCGTCACTAATAAGACTCCTGTGGAATTAGGTTTTCAGCTAAAGATGCTGCTCAGCATCCCTTCCCAAAGCTATGTATGTTTACTGACCAGAGAAGCCAAAATGGAACCACCAATCCACGAACTGAACCTCCGCTCCACTGTTGTGTTGTTTGCTATCAACTTCAGCCGCATACTCTGAACAGAGAGAAAAAATACACATTAGCAAGGTCAAACTGATAGGTAGCTCAACTGAAGGTTCAAAACTTTTCCCCTGAAGGGGATGGGGAGGAAGAGGTCTTAGGACTGCATTACAGACAAATATTCAAAGTGTTTAATTCATTTGTTGCCACACAGGTCAAAGATACTACCGTATATACTCGTTCATAAGCCGAATATTTTTGGTAAAAGAGTGACGCATCAAAGAGTGGGGGTTGGCTTATAAACAAGTCTACACCAAAATCTGATGATTTTAAACTCTATGAAATCACTGAATTGAATATCTAATACACTGTCGTTTTGTTTACCTGGAGCGTCTGCAGGCATGGAGCCCCTCGGTTCCCTGTGGCTGCAGTTTGCCGTTCCAGCCAATGGGAGCTGCGGGACGCGCCTCCTGCAGCTCCCATTGGCTGGGAACGGTGAACCGCGGCCACAGGGAACTGAGGGGCTCCATGCCTGCGGATGTTCCAGGTAAACAAAACGTCCCAACCCACCAGTGGCTTACCCTGACAGGCCAGGAGCCAAAGATTGCCAACCCCTGAAATACAGGGTCGGCTTATGAAAGGGTCATACAGCTTTTACTATTTTTAACCTATCCATCTTGGGGGGTCGGCTTATAAACTAATGAGCTAATGAACGAGTATATACGGTAATTCTATTACATTTTCTCTAATCTGGAGCTTGTCTGATTTGCACTTTGGAGTCCAGTGCTCCCAAAATTACAGGTTAAATAAAGTAGCAGGTTGCTGTTTATTGGTAGCCTGTGACTTGTGTGTGCAATCCACAGAGAACAAAATCTTCTATATTAATATGAGCTCAAACTGAATCAGTGAAATATCCTTGGAAATGGGTTAGCTGCAACACAACAGAAGCGAGCGATGATTAGGGGAAATTATCATGGCTTCGGAATAGTTACACAGCCCAGAATAACCAGAATCGTTATCTGAAAGTAGAGATAGACATGCAGTATTTTAAAACTAGCTAAGTATTTGCTGAAGTCTGCTTTATGCT